AATACATGTGTTACCTTTCATATCGATTTCAGTGCTTTCATTCGGTTTAGGGGCAGCAGGAGACGGTGCAGGCTTAGGCGGTTTAGGCCAGCACTTCTCGTTGTTACTGTGTCAATGTCATTGGTGAGGAAAGTTATCAGTTTTACACTTTTGAAACAGCTTGGTCGCAACGGATGTGTGAGTACAAGTCAACTGCACGTCGGTCAGCCTATCACTGGCCGGAACGTTTGTACATATTCTTGAAGGTATTACCTTGCTACATTCAAAAGGTAGACCCGTCTACCATAACGTCAAACATTATGCACGCAGAGGTATAGGCATACATTAGATTTACTGGTATTGATTAGTAATTGATGGACATGGCTCTGATTGGTTCGTTATTCATATTCACAAAGGTATTGACCTTATGCATGTCAAATATAGGCATACCAGCAGTGAATACTCACACGCACATCTAGCTCGATGTCTCAGTGTCATACAATCACTACCAATTTCTACACAGTCTGTATCAGAGCACACTGCTTTCTACACACATGTCAATGTACACACATACACACATCTACCTCGATGTCTCAGCGCCACACATGCACCACCAATTTCTACACACTTTGTATCAGGACTGAATCCGTACCCCTCCTCATGTCATACTTACACACATAAGTGTCAGATTCGGGGTCATACACACCCGGCTCAATACCTGAATGATACATAGCGCTTTCTACACATATACCTCTCTATACTAGTACAGGCGGTATACATACATGTCTGGCAATTGCCATGGCTTTAATCACTTCGTCGTGCATGTCCCCATGAGAGTCCTCGTCCTTCCCCACGTTGAATATATAACACACAGCTAGCTCGATGTCTCAACAACACACAACATACAACACACAACACAAGCCCAATACTATACACACGCAGACACTATGTCGCAGTACACGCGGATCCTTTAGCAACACACAACACAATTCCAATACTATGCACACGCAGACACTATGTCGCAGTACACACTGATCCTGCGCGTACTTGGCGATGGTCATGGCTCCAATCACTTCATCGTCCATGTCTACACTGAAGTCTTGGCCCTTGCCCATATCGTCCAGCAAGTGCGAGATGTTGGTCGCATACAACTGTGAACTGACACTCGCCATGCGCGAGGGTAAGTCGGTGAAGCCAATGATAGTCACACCGTTGTCTGTGGTGATGGCGCTGCCTGTATGTGGATCGGATACGGGTTGATGTGTTATGTACAGGTGGCATAGTCCGGCGTCAGGGGATCACATACACAGGTTCTTCTTCCGTATCGGTATGGGATGGTGGGTGAAAGGTTGGTCACAAACAGCGGGGAACGTACAATGACCATGCACGTACACAGATGGATGTAGTCAAGTGTGGTAGCACCATTGTCTGTGGTGATGACACTGCCTGTGTGTAGATGTTTGGCATTAGATGTCCTATATAACCTGAGATAGGTGGATTCAAGGTGAACCCATGGTTATATTCTGCGATATAGCACGGTCAAGAAGTAAATGAATCTTATAGGTATATGGTGATGACGCTGCCTTAATATAATATATAT